CGGTATGCGTTAATGAATTTGCTTTTGGCGGTACTGTTAGCAGTTGTTATTGCTGAGCCGTCATTGATTGTTCGTTCGAGTTTGCATCGGTGGGAGACGGTGGTGGCAACAATATAGGCTCGAATGTTTATGCTGGTGATGTGCAAAAAACGAAGCTTCATTCTCTGACTGACTATACGTGTTGGCTGGTTATTGTTACGCATTGCACCATACACCACACCTAAAGCAAATTGCTTTGTGCGGATTTCGTGTGTTTGTATTGATGTTTGTCTGTTGCTATGGATTTTACCTCTTTTTTTCAATTTTCATTTAGCAACTAACGGATGAGTTGGTATTTTGTAATTTGCATTTGAAAAACAAAAAAAAAAAAAAAACAGTGCTATCCGAAAGATATTAAAGGAGTATTGAGATTTTCCTGTAGGAAGGACATCTATCGATGAAAAGATCATAACTTATAAAGTATGTGAGACAAATAATAAAACTTGCTTAATCTCTTATCAAGAAGCATCTGAACTATTTTTGTAGGAAAAATTACCACACAGGTCTATATTAAAGTAAGGAAGCGACTTGATCGAAACCCCCGTCGCAGTGGCCGAAAAATGGCTAATGAGCTTAACATATCGCAATCTCCATTCGGCAAATTTTGAGAAATGAGCTCGGGGTAAAGCCATTGAAATTCCAAAAAGTGCAAGAACTTACACCGCAACAGAAAGAAAATAGACTCAAAAGAGCTAAAGATTTGCTTCGCTTGGTCGAAAGTGGTGAATTTGGTTTTCTCCGATAAGAAAACATTCATTGTCCAGCAGTTTGTAAAGCTGAAAATGTGCACCTTTGGTTGGCCACCAGAACTCAAGCGCCGGTTATGGTGATGGTGTGGGCCGCCATAACTGCCGATGATCGCTCTCCGCTCATATCAATCTACCGTGGCATCAGAATAAACGTCGAATATTATCGCGAAAATATTGTGGAGGGGTATTAAAGCCTTGGGCACGCAAACATTTTTGCCGCAGACCTTGGACATTCCAACAGGACTCAGCAACATCGCACTCAGCACGCGCCACCCAAGGATGGTTACAATATAAGGTTCTCCGGATACCAATCCGTTGGACTATTGTGTCTGGAAAGCAAGGTTGGCACTAAAAAATACCAAAGTGTCGATCACCTCAAGCAAGCGCTTCGAGGGAATGGGCCGAAATGCGCAGAGCAACATTTGGGCAGCGAGTGACGGTTTCATTGGCCGTTTGAAGGCCATAATTCGTGCCAAAGGTGACCAATTTGAACAAATCTAAACTTATTCTAAAATTTGATAATTTTTCCGACATTTTTTGCTATCATTCAATGGAATTTCGCAAGTTCGCCCTGTATTTGGCATAGCCTCTCTTCAGCTATTTGATTTCACTTAAAATTCAGATTCGATCTTCGACAAATTTTCAATATCGTTTCACATTCTGACGTAAGCCCCTACATCTTCCTGAAAAAGTGAATTAAGTTTGGTATTCCCTCAAAAATTGTTTAATGTAGATTTGGGTCCTGGTATAACCCCATGAAAGGGTATCTTCAAGTTATAGGTTCATTGAGGTTCCTAGTCGAATTTTTCACTCGAATGGGTTACACGTGGCATTTTCCATTGGTAACCGGTAAAACCCTATCTCACAAAAATATTCCATATTTTCTAATATTGGCATTAGTCCATGGAACTTCAAAATTTTCTTCAAATTTTATGGAGTTCGAGGACAACCGATCTGCCTATAATTTATACTTACAGGTGTTGAAGTGTGTAAAAGTCTACCTAGTTTTTCTTCCATCATTTTACCCGATGTGTGGTACTAAAAACCATTCCAATGGGCATCACTGTTCTGGCAACGGCTTTTCAATCGCAACTTCTTTTTTTTTGTTGGTTTGAAATAACCATACGCAAATGAGTTGCGTATGTGGCACATGTTCAGAGATTTCCAACGAATTATCACACAAATTTTCAACAAAAGGAAAAAGAAGACAAAAACAACAACAACAGCAGCAGCAGCAGAAAAAAACACCAAAACCGTAGTAATTGATTGCAAATTGTGGAAATATTTTTAACAAATCCATGGAAATTGTGTAATTTACGATAATTTACCATTGTTCGAGATTCAATTCAATACTGTTTCCGCTGAGCCAGTTCGACAAAATGGGCGAAAAAAAGATTGTAATTTAATTTATTAATCAATTTTTTTCGCTATGCCAAACGTGCATTAATTCATTTTAATAATTCAGTGGAAAAAAACATATTTCAGTATTTGTTAAATCCGTTTTTTTAACATTTTTCCATTTAAATGCAGATGAACACCATTTGGTTTCTGGCGATCATTGGTGGTGGTAAAATGCGAATGCGTATGAATTTTTAATGACATTCAATTGAATTCGAATGCCACACAAAAAAGCAAAATAAAAAAAAAATCGATAATGCATGAATCGAAACCTTATAATTTAATGGACGAACAAACAGATGTGTTCGTTGGAAACGACAACAGCCGGCTAATGTTTGCAAATAATTCTTTAAATAAATGTAATTAAATGCTGTTTGTGGCCAACCACAGAAATGATAAACACTCAATTTTGTTTTTGTCAAAGGCCTTCATTATGTAACTGGCATTTGAAAATAAAAATGTAGAAAAAAAAAAACAATAACAACAAAACAAATTAATTAGTACAATTAAAAATTAACATTGTGTCCGAGTGACAAATTTTAATTATTCTCTATAAATTATTTATATTCAAATGAGAATTAAAAAAAAAATAATGGGATAATTGTCAACATAGTAAAATAGTTAAGCAATGAATAAAAACAAAGCAAAATGGAAATGGAATTCAAAATACTAATGTACGGTCCGTCATTTTTAATGTCTCCACATGAGCTACACTAAAAAGTGGACCTATATTGGACATTTTGTGCAAATGCTGTTTATATTCTCTAAGAACTTGGATCGTCAATCCAAGTTCTGAATCCATCAGAGTACTAAAAATGAAAGCTCATAAAATAGGGATCTACACTAAAAAAAGTTGCAATGCAAGACGAAACTCTCCTTATCGAGAACTCGAAATGTAAAATTACAGCATATTCGTTTGGATATTGTTGCTGAACTATACAAAACAACGTAGACCGATATAAATAATCAGAACTCTGAAATACTCGCCAGTGTTTGAGTAGAGAGTAGAACTATGTCGAATTTAAGCGGGAGTATTCTTAAGAGAAAAACAGAATAGAAACAAGTTAAAAAGTAGTAAGTCGGGCGGGCCGAACTTTGAATACCCTCCACCATTTGGAACGATTTTGGAAATTTTCAAAAAAATAACATCCGTTAAAAATTCTGTTAAAATTTTAAAAATACCGAAAAATAGCCCTTACATTGGGGTCTCTACGACGTGAACCTACATAGGCTTTGTTTGTCATAAGCCATTACCATATTCAAATTCGAAACTTGAAATATACGGTGAATAATGTAGGTAAGATCATCAAAATATCGTATATAGGGAGGTACCGTTATATCGGAGCTATACGAAGACCTGGACTTCTGTTACAGCCTGTAGCATCCATTACAAACTTCAAATACGACATCTCAAATAATTTCGGTGAGTATTGTACCTAAAATCGTTAAAATACCGAATATAGCGATGTACTTATACATGGGGGCTATACGAAGACCTGGACATGCATAGGCAACTTTCTGTCATAGGCTGTTGTATCCATTACGAACTTCAAATACCAAATTTGAAACAATTCCGGTGAATAATGTCACTAAAATCACCAAAATACCGAATATCGGGAGGTACCGTTATATGGAGGCTATATGAAAACAAAACAAAAGTGGCAAAATAAACATGTCTGCAAAATTTTAGCCTTCTATCTCGATTCGTTCGAAAGATAGCGTGATTACAACAACAGACAGACGGATAGACAGACAGACAGACGGACATCGCTTAATCGACAAAGAATTTTACGCTGATCAAGAATATATATAATTTGTTGGGTCTTACATCAGTATTTCGAGGAGTTACAAACGGAGTGACAAAGTTAATATACCCTCCATAGTATGGTGGAGGGTATAAAAATGAGTTGACTCTATTATTCCATTTCTCTCGAAAAGAGTTCGAGGGGTAGTAAAATTTCAACTTCAAAATTTGATGAGAATAACTAATTATTTTTCAGTTTTCTGGTTTTGCAGAAGGTATATAGTGGAAATTACGTTTGGTTCTGAAAGTGGTATAACTGTAACTTTGATTGGGGCAGCTTAATTGTTATTGGGATTGTTTGGAAAGTGGAGGATATAAACAGGATCCTGTGAACGTGAGTCCCTATAAAGTTAAACATTTTAAAAACAATCTTGCCCTGTTCGTTTAAATTCGTTTTCGAAGTTTTGTAATCTTTAGATACATTAGAGATTTCGGAACGCTTTCAAAGTGTGAGTGGAATGATAATTAAAATTTATTGCCTTCAAAATTTCACTGGCTTTCATTTACTTTGTTAAAATACAATGGACAAGTTTTTTGTTTTGAAAATTTCCAATACCCAGAAAATGCAGCACTCCTGCCTTTGCAAATATTCGAATTTTATTAACGAAATATTCGTCAAAACCTTTGATGTCAAAGCTTTGTTGTGTTTTTTTGCGTGTAAAAGAAAAAATGTAAAAAAAACTTTAAAGAATTCATTATTATGGTGGCTTTGTTTGAAAAGGGGCTCATAGAAATCCTTGGTCCTTTGTTAGTTACCTTTGTCGTGTATTTACAGAGGACAAAGCTATGCATGATGTTCTCTTCGTTATTTTTTTCTCTACACATTTTCAATAAAAAGTCAATGACTCAAAATTTCCGTGCAATTTTTGCTAATTAATTTTACTCAGTTGCTAAGCAGGTATTCCCTCCCCTCCTTTTTTTCTTGCTTTCACGGCAATGCTCTCAACCATGTTTTGGGCTTAAATTTGTAACGGGCAAAGTGAAAAAAAAGTGATGACAGCTCTACTTACCCCTTCTTCTTTGCCTTGCAGAAAATGAACGGCACCTGAACGCTGAATGCCGGGTAAAAACCACACTGGATGTGTCAACAACAAACGCTCCACCAGACCCAAATCACAGGGAGGCGAATCATCATCCGAGCCACGGGAAGTTTCACTCGATGTTTCACCCTCGGCCAGAATGCCACCATCTGAACTCGAAACAAGAGATGTACGGGACTGTAAAGAGAGGGAGAAAGAGAAAAATATGAATAAGTTGTTTTGACAAAAAGTATGGGTTAAAAGTTTATTTATTTCTCTTTTGGGCTAAATTCATTATTAGCCTTCTTTTCTTCTGTACAAAATCGGCTTAAACAATTGCTATTGTGTGTGTGTGTGCGTTTTTTGTGTAAACATGAAAAACAGATCTATTCAAAACATGTTTCCTCTCACACCAATACAAATAAATATGGGATTTTTAATAAGAGTAGGGCCGAAAGAGGCTTTTTTGTTTTTATCCTGGCATTGTTAAATATTCTGGCTTAAAAGTTTTAGCCAGAGTTAAGTTTCATTATCTGTAAATTTGTCCAAACAGATGTTACCGTTTTTGCTGCAGACATTTGTTCTTTTCCAGTCTGTTAGCCAAGTTAGTTGTCCAAAGGACATGATATGCGTATGCCCAGTTGGCTCGAGTGTGGGCCGAGGAAATTGATGAAAATGTCATGTGGTGTCATCGTTGGGGTGACTTTATGCTTGAGTGCCAACATTTATGTTTAATTTCTTTTTTTTTTTTTGCTTTGGTTGTAGTTACTTTTGTCGTCTTCTGTATTATTTGCAATAAAAATGTCACATGTTTCAGACCATATAGGTATACTTATATATACCCAGCAAAAGGATTGTAACAACTTAACTAATTACGAAGTTATGTGCGTTGAAAAATAATGGGTAATTTTCCAATAATTTACAAGACATAATAATCTAGGAAAAAATACGATAACTCCTACGATGACGCTTATAACAACCTTTAAAATTTCATATTTCTGGTGCGTCCTCTCAAAAACTCATAAGCAAATAATGGGTTCAAAAAGTTATTGCTATTTGTACCATTTAATTGCTGGTTTGTATCATTTAGTGCAAATACAGAGTGAGATAAAAAACTGCAACAAAGTCAAACATTTTTTTCTAATTTTATTGAATTAAAGCAAAAAATGTCGGAAATAGCATCAAATTTTAGAAGAAGTTTAGATTTGTTCGAATTGGTCACCTTTTGCACGAATTATGGCCTTTAAACGGCCAATGAAACCGTCACACGCTGCCCGAATGTTGCTCTGCGGTATTCTGGTGGCCAACCGAAGGTGCACATTTTCAGCGGAGAAAACCTAATTCGGCAGTTTAACACTTTCGGCCAAGTGAAGCAACTCTTTAGTGTAAGTGAAGCAATCCAACACCAGTTCCTTCTCTAAACCAACAGCTATCTTCATATCAAATTTTTGGATTTCGGTACTATCCTTTCACTAAATACCAAATTTAGTAACATTTAGTACACATAACTAAAACAATGTGTATCTCTCCATCCAAAACACCGACAGTGATCCAAAACTAGTACCATGTAGTACTTTTCCTACAATTATTGTACGCATTTACAAAACCACCATCAGATCTTAACACCAGATCCCAACAGAGACCTCAATAACAAATCACGGGATTCCAGATCTTTTCCTTCACCCAATGCCCAATTTAGTTCGACTTGGTTGTTTTAGTACAATTAAAATACACTTTTCCAAAGCCAACCCCATATGTCCAGGCAACACATGAACAGCGACCCTAATACAAAATTTCACATTTCAAGCGCTATTTGTTCACCCAATACCAAATTGTATCAAATATTGTACTATTTAGTACTTTTCGTGCTCTTGTAGTACACATTTCCAAAAATATCCCATTATTATAAACCAACTACTGACGGTACCCCAATACAAAATTTCAAATTTCATCTTCATCCATTCACCCTATACTGAACTGTTTCAAATTTAGTACCATTTAGTCCACATTTCCAAAACCACCTTTATATTTCGAACTTAGTTTCCATCCGTCATTCTCACACCAAATTTCAAGTTTTAAATCTATCGGTTGATATATACAAAATGGTACCACTTTAGAAGTTTAGTACCATTTTAGAACTTTTGATAGTCTTCGATTTTCCAAAAAACACTTTGTAACTCTCGTTCCAAATTTCAGAATTCTAGCTCATTCCGTTTGTCCCATTCAAATTTTACTACTTCCCCATTTAGTACGAATTTCCAAAAAAATCAGCCTAATAACACGTATACGCACCAAGACTGATCCTTGTGCAAAATTTCAAGATTCTACCTTCAGACGTTTCGTCTGGGCGTTGAGTATCATTTATCTTTTATATATTAGAAGATTTACTTGTTTTGGTTTCGATTTTTAATTCTTCTAGTTAACCACCTATAAAGTCAAAAATCTACCTTTCATCTGTTGCCAATATTGAAACAATCATCAATCATCGATTTAGTAAACACTGTTGTGTTAAAACTTCAAACCTATGAATAAAATGGAAAGCGGTTGGATTCTTGTTCTATGAAAATTTAAAATCAAATCATTTTCTTGATAACTTTTCATTTCACATTTTCTTAGCACTAGAATTTAAATGATTATTTTGCAGATGTTTTCAGAATATTTTGCTTGAAAAATCTCATATTTTGACAAATTCCGTCAATACCCGAGAAAGTTTTACAAATTTTTGTTTCCATCAATTTGTCATTCCAGTCGAATTTCGCCTTACTTTATTTTAATAAAATTGCCTTATTTTACCCCACAACTACAGCATCTTCCACATCATTGCCCATCCCTGTGTCTGCTTTCTCTTTTTCCAATAATTTTCCTAATAGACCAATTCCGTTTTTCGCATTGTTAAAATCAAATTAAATTCCTCTCCATTCAAATCGGAGACAATAATTAAATCAAAATGTCACAGCAAAGCATAAAAATAAGGCAAGAAGAATAGGTTTTCCTTTCAATTAAACACGCACTAAAAATCACTTAGTCCTGTTCTGGTCTGGAATCATCCCACATATACAGCCCTCCTTCCCTGGCTACTCCCTCATCTTTGCCGGAGTACAGTGGCAAACAACTTAATTTCCGTTCACTTCTCTCTGTATATTTTATAATGTAGTTTCCTTGCTGCCACTGCCAATGCCGCTGCTGACATGTCATCGAATAAAAGAAAAGTAAACGCCCAGGTTTCTTTTTGCTCGCTTCTGAAATTGTTTGAGGAATTTTTCGCTGAGATTTGTCCACCAAAAAAAAAAAAGGCGTAGCTGCAGCGTTTTAACGTGGAACGCCTCTATGCTGACACAAAATTGAAAATTACTCTACGCATTCTATTCTGCAGTGATATTCACACTTAATGTTGATGTAACCGGCATCTAAATGGGTTCTTCCAAGCCCACCTTCCCCACTTGGGCTGGTGTGAATGTGTCATCAAATTGAAGTGGTCCATGGATATACATACATCCAACGTATAAATATTGTCTGCAACAAAGACATTCCTTTGACGTACGTACCAGGAGTTGAATAACAAAAAAAAAAAAAAAAAAAAAAAAAAAAAAAAGAACTAGACGACACTTGAACTGTAAATCTTAAGATGTGAATGTGAAAGAAATGACAAGAGAACTTGCTTTCCTTCGAGGTATAATAATAATGGTAGGGTATAGATTCTTTTTAACAGACAATAAATGATAGCTGCACAATGGGGCAGTATTTCACTAAAATGGCTATAAAAGAGTCTATAAAGAATTGAGCAGTTCTCCAGAGTTTCTACAGGGTGAGATAAAATAACTGCAACAAATTCAAACGCCATAGTTTTTACATTTTTTTTTAAATTTTGGCAAATAATGTCGAAAATATCATCAAATTTTAGAATACGTTTAGATTTGTTCGAGTTGGTCACATTTGACACGAATTATGGCCTTAAAACGGCAAATGAAACCGTCACACGCTGCCCGAATGTTGCTCTGCGGTATTTTGGCCCATTCTCGGTGAAGCGAAGCCCATTTATCTCATCCTGTATATAGAATTTTGAGGAGACTATCGAATAGTTGCAAAAATTGTTAAAGTAAGGATTCTTGAATATTCTGGAACCGGTCTACTATATACAGCTTCCTTAGTCGAACTTTCGAGGTAAGGGGTCATCACTATCTTGAAGATAGAATGGATTCGATTTAATCAAAATCAATGTTTTTGATTTGATCACATGGGTCCCATACATCTCATTTATACCCACACAAATGTTCTGTACTTGGTATTCTTAATATTTTTATACCCTCCACCTTGGAATGGAGGGTATATTAACTTTGTCATTCCGTTTGTAACATCCCTAAATATTCGTCGTAGGCCCCATAAAGCATATATATTCATAATCAGCATAAAATTCGATTAAAGACGATTTAACGATGTTCGTCCGTCTGTCTGTTGAAATCACGATACAGCTAAGATTATTGGACGTAGAGCGTCAAAATTTGGCAGAACAATTTGTATTGTGTCTAGGTATTGACAATGAGATACATCGGTCCACGTTTTTGCATAGTCCCCATATAACGGTACCTCCCGATATTCGGTATTTTGATGATTTATGCCACATTTTTTCACGGATTTGTCGGAAAATTGGTACTTGTAGGTCATAATGTGTGGCGAAACATTGCATGTATAGGTCCTCGTTTCGGTATAGTCCCCTCCCGATATTCGGTATTTTAACGATTTGTGCTACATTTTCTTACGGATTTGTCTAAAAATTGGTTTTTGTTGGTCATAATGGGTTCTAATGGCGAAACATTACATGTATAGGTCCACGTTTTGGTATAGCCCCCATATAACGGTACCTCCCTATATTCGGTATTTTGATGGTTTTTGTCACATTTTTTCACAGATTTGTCTGAAAATTGATAGGTCCATGTTTCGGTATAGTCCCCTCCCGATATTCGGTATTTTAATGATTTCTGCTACATTTTCTAACGGATTTGTCTAAAAATTGGTATTTGTTGGTCATTAGTGGTTTTAACTCCGGTGGCGAAACATTGCATGTATAGGTCCACGTTTTAGTATAGCCCCATATAACGGTATTTTCCGATATTCGGTATTTTGATGGTTTTTGTCACATTTTTTTACGTATTTGTCTAAAAATTGATATTTGTTGGACATAATTGGTTCTAGCTCCGGTG